AGGAAAGACTGTTCCCAGTATCAATCAGAAAGACTGCTCTGAGGCAAAATTTGGCTAAATGTTGGCAAAGCTTTTCTCATAGCGGACTTCAGTACTTATATAATCCTACATCCAATAACTATTGCTTGAGGAGTAAATCAGTTTCTCATTTATTATATACATTATTTTTTTCTATTATGGACATCAGTACTTACTATGTCTATGGCTATGTGGGAAATTTTAGAAGCCAAAGTGTTGAGAGAGCCTGGAAAGAAAGCAAGTGTGAAAAAAAAGAAGTTCCTTGCTTTCAGTGCTGAAATCTGAGTAAGCAGCAGATAGATTTATAATGAATTTTTTTAAAACAAATAAATAATCAGGTTTAATTTTTAAATTAAACTATATCCTTTTTTTATCCTACAATTTATAATCAAATGAAAATTATCCTTTACCTCTGAATTTTCAAATATTAAACATTTTAATTTTATTATAAATGCTTTAATTAGCTTCTTTAATCATAATTTAGCCTTATAATTCTAGAAAATTCAGAGGTGCTTTGTTTTTCAGTTGTTCTGTCCAATTTTTCATTTGTTTGTTTTTCTAAATAATGCAGCTTTTCTTCTCTCAGGCTAATGTCAAAAAAAATTTGTATCACTGATAAGGTTGAAAGCCTACAAGGCATAGCATCATAATACTGAACTTAAACATTTGTGAGAAATAACAGTTCAAAAAGACAGAAAAGGGGAAGTAAAATCTGTTTAATCCCATGTTTTGCTTTACTTTCCTTGATTCTCACTAGTTTGCAAAACAAAGTTGAAATTTCTTGTATGTTGGCATTGTATATTTGGCATTAAACAGAGTGTTTGACATATAATAGCTTTTCTTTGACACAACTGATATTGATACCCAAATGTTTCAGTCACAGCCATTCATTTAAAGCACAGTTTGCAACAGACTCCTGGCCAAGAGTGAACAGATTTGGTAGCTGACTATTTTGGTCAGAACAGAGAGTAACATCTTTTTAACTTAGTGAAGATGTTAATCCATGATAAGGACCAAACGTTTTTGACTCTTAACACATTTGGAGAAACATCTCAGCCTCAGCTTCTACCTCCTGGATTTATCAATGGCAACTTCAGCTAACTTAAAATCAAAGATCAAATTCCCTTGGACTTAATTATTTTTTTGCAAAATTGTGATACTGGAAAAATACAGAGAATATGAATAAGAACCTACATTCTAGCAATCATACGGAGTCACAGATTGTACACAATACTATATTATCATTAATGGGAACTGATAGACTTAGTGAGAAAAACAGAAATCTCACAAATTGCTACCAATTCAAAAACAATAAAGGTTGGAATGACATTTTATCAACTCCATGAATCAAGACTACTATGTGAGAACTGTGTCCTTAGCTCCAATCCACCCATCACTGTCTTTGTGTCTCCTCCTTCTTCCAAACTGTAAAGCACATATTAGCCATCTCTCACAGCAGTGAGTCCCCTTCCTGTTTTCAAAAGACTTTTCTTCTAAGCACCATTATTCTTCACAAGGTGCTAACCAAGGGGAAAAAAACCCAAACTGGAAAATAGATTATGCAAAGGGGTACAGTCACACATCTGATGCCTTTTATTGCTATGAGAAATCCCAGGGAAAGTGATATCCATGAGAGTTTTGGGCAGCAGCAGCGTTCAGCCTAAAAATCTGATATGACTGAAGGCCTCACCATTCACATTGTGACAGCAGAGGACCTCAGGGGCTGTGACCCCACCTTCCTGAAAAGATCTGAGGTTAATTTTGGGATCCTCTGAAAATTCAGGACACAGGCAAGAGTCAAACCTATTTTTCAAATGAAGCCTTTTAAAGAGGAAATTTTAAAAATTAGTTTCCCTATTTACAGAAGAAAATATCAATGAATACTCTGCATAACAGTTTACATTATCAATTCTGTCATACAGTTCCTAAACGAAAGAGTATTCATGGTTAAAACTCTAATGTCACCTTCATGTTCGACAGAATATGTGATAGTTTGGAAGCTATTATTTCAAAACTCACATGTTGAAATTTTCTGATTGACTGCTCACATGTTTCAAAATGATTTTATAATTATCAACAGAACAAGCTAAATTAACCCTGAAGCTTGTAGCAATGAGAATTAAACTGCTCTTACTTATATCTGCAAATAAACCTACTCATTACAGTAACAGCTGCCATTCTGATGCACTGCACTCTGCTTTGATTAACACCTCTGCATAGATCTGTAGCATCAAACAACCTGATCCCTTATTGCACTGTTATATATGTCTATGCAAATGGACACCCAGAGTTCTCCACACATTTACCCACTGATGTCGAAAATGTTTGGAGGGTTAGGAATAAGCTCAGGAAAGTTTTCATTAAATTTCCATTTGAGCACAGATGACTTGCACAGCCTTGGGTAAGTCTCCTTGTGCCCCAGTACCAAATCTCTAAAAGTGGGTTAATATCATCTCCCCATTATACAGGACTACTGTAAGTGTAAACACTGTGAAGGCCTGAGATATTAGACCAATGAGGTCAAGATGTTCATGTCATCTTTGTATATAACTGTGGATACCTGATTGTTTTGTTTTGTTTTAATTAGTAATACAATAAGAGCAATTTTAGAAACTTAAAATCATTAGGAAAAAACACCACGAGAGAATTCGCAACTTATACAGTAATAAAAAGAAAATAAATGTCTATTTCTCCTATTAAATGGTCTTTATTGTGAAGCTTCAGTAATGTATTCATCACTATCAAAACAGAGGTTGAAAACTGAAACTATCATACAAAAAACAAACATAAAACCCCGCAAAGTATATACTCTAGAGCTATGATTACCAGTTAGTCAGTGAGCAAATAACTTTTTAAATGTACAGTGTACTATAAATAATTTAGTTTCACTGCAAACTAGTTCATAACATCAAGATGTTCCTTATTTTGTATGATGCGTAATCTGAAAGTTTTCCATAGAAGAAGAAATATTGCCTGATTTTAATAAACATATTCATTTTTAATTCCTACAGACACATCTAGGTAGTATTTTATATGTCATATATAATAATGAATGTTCAAAACACTTCAAAAATAATTTCTTGCAGGAATGGGAAGGATAGTGTGAGAGACTGAAATGTTAATGGTAAAGGCTCAGTCAGCCACTTGCAAAAGCAATGGGTGCTTTGCTGATGATGAGCAAGGTAATAGCCCAGGTGCAGAGGGTGTACGCACGGGAAGATGACCATGACAAATCAAGCTTTGTTTAGCAGGAAGCTGGGTTTTGAGTCAGGGGAGGGAAGAGCCTGATAAGAAGCTCATCCTGAGAAGTCGGACAGCTTTTTATCATGCCAATTTCCTCCCTTATACAGCTGTCTCAGTTGTAAGACTGCTCATCCCCTGGGAAGGTGTCCGGATGTCCACATTTTTCATCCCTTCTGATGAGGTATAACTGGTCCACTCGTAAAAATATCTCCCAGGTGAGTTATTGGGACATTCACAGGTAGGCCTGAAGGTATTCATCCCTTCTGATGGGGCATAATTGGCTCAATTACACTGATGTGAGAGGCAACTGTGATGTCTTAGAAGGTGTCATAAATAACCAAAGTGCCCCCAGACTCATTTCTGTGGCTTTCCACCAGAGGACTGTGCATGACCCACAGTGTTGCAACAGATCCACATTGTTGCAAAAGATTCACCATGTTGCAACAGACAACATAAAACTCCCCACCCCGAGGTACCCGAGCACTCCACCTAATCCTGACTGTATATCAACCATTGGACTTTGTGTTTCAGGGCTTCCTCTGGCCCCAATGGATCAAGATTGTGACCATCACTTCAACCACCAGACATCAAAATTGCAACTATGAAATCTCGTCGCTGGATTCATGAGTGGTAATATCTTTCTACTCTTATCCTTTATTTCTCTTTCTTTCTTTCTTTCTTCTCCTATCTTTCTCTCTTCTTCTAATTTCTTCTTCTCAAAATATATTCTAAGCCAGACTAAAATATTCCAGTCAATGCCTTAGTAAGTGCCTTGTTGCGTCTGGGTAAGTTAAAGTTGGCTAAGTTTAAGTTTGCTAAGCTAAAGTTTGTGAAGTGCCTTACTTTGTCTGGATGTTGTTTTAGAATTTGCCAAGTATTCAAGTATTTGTGTTGTTCTACCTTAATGTTCTTAAGTTTTCAAGTAAAACTTTGTTACTGAACCTCCTGAGAATTTTGTTATTTCTCCCACACACTGCCCAGAGTGAATCAAACAACCTTCTCCTAAACCTGCTGAGCAGACCGGGGCATAACACACAGTTAAAGTAAGTTTCAGTTTGTCCTTCCCTTCCATTTTAGAGAAAACAGATCTTTCTTCTCAGTGTGAAACATTCTCCCTAATCTCTGTATGATTTGTCATAAGCCTACAAAGAATTCTTTGCCTCAGAGATTTTTACCATTAATGTTTTCATTTAGAACTATAATCCAGAGCACTATTCTGACAGTTTCTCTTTTTTTTTTTAATGTCACCCACTTCCTTAAATGGTTACTAAACAGCGCAAATTATGGATAGATCTGTAGAATACCACAGTCATGTAGATAACCCAACTTATAAACTATATCTTTCAAGAAGTTTAGTTTAGACTTCCATCAGGTCCCTCAGTCTGTTGCCAATATTAGGGGTGCTCCTACAGTGCACCTTTCACTCCAGTTTTTCATCCAAGAGGAATTCAGTTCACTTATCTCAAGACTGCTCAGAACAGAAACCAAAGTACAGTCAGTGGGGGCAATCAGAAGATTCACTGGTCCAAACTAAACTGGTAATACAAGCATATTTATCATGTAACATCTATAAACCAATTGCCAGCTTCAGAACTAAATGCGATTTGGTGCTTTCTGATTTCAATTAAATAGTTGAAAATTTTTTCGCAGTAAGTCAAAGCAGAATACAAGCTTAGAGGCACTTAGTAGTATATATCTTACACCATTTACCCGTATATGCAAAAGATTCAGGAACTCACCATATCGGTATCTGAAACAGGTCCAAAACTGGTCACATAGATGTTAGTGAAGACTTCAGTAATACTATCTGATATAAAAAGAAAAAAAAAAAGCAAACATTTTAAATTGATAGTATTTCTTCTAATTTTCTATGCAAGATTATGGGACATTTTGAAGAGGTTTCTGTTCTTGTTTACTACTCCTAATCAATATTCTGGTGTAAAAACTCGAGGTCTCTGACCCACTTAACACAGATGTTATCAGACAAGAATTTGTCCCAGGTAGTAGTTTGTTGCAGGTAAAAAACTATACAGTCATTAGCAACTACACACATATTTCCCATTTCTCTACCAGCAAAAATAACCACACCACCTTGGACTTAACATGGAAGTACAGTTCTAAACACAAAATGCCTTTGTCGCAGAGGTGTTATCTCTGTTGTTGCAGATCACTCCTATTAAAGCTTTTCTAGCTGAAGGCTGCTTTCTTCATCCTTAATAGCTTTTTCAAAGCCAAAGACAAGAAAAAGCGTACAAAGCAGTTATTGATGACATCAAATATAACACATCCTACTTTTTCATTGAGTGTGTTTTTAAGTGGCACATATTCTGACATAATAGTTCCTTCCTTTGATACACGATGCTCCTGAAACACTGTAGTGATACTGTAAATACTATAAGAAAATGTTCTTCCTCATCATTGCAGTCAGACACCCATGAAATCAGAATATTAGATATTGTACTGCAGGGAAAAATAATTGCTGATTTTTCTATCCTGAGTCTTCAATTAGGTTCAAAATAAAATGATATTCACTAAGAGGGTTAGCACACACTTGCAGAAAATTTCTTACAGCAGTTGCCAACTACTGTCTGCATTCAAGACAGTCAACACAAGGAATTCTCTGCCTTAAAGCCAGCTACTGACTGGAAAAGAAAAATATGAATACAATGAAGTGCAATTTGACTCATCACAGAATTTCCTGTTCCTAAAAATAATACAGCTGCCTGTTATACAAAGTGATCCTGCTGTTAGATTATGATTTCCACATTTAATCATCATTTAATATGAATATTTTCTGTTTTCCTAAAACCTACCTTTTGACAAATATATGGTATAGACAAATTTTACTTTTAAAATTACATTGATACCAACAGTGTGATCCGTGCCCTTTATAGGGAGAAACCAGTGGTGCTCACCCATGACAGTAGATTCTCTACCAGCCACCAGGGAAAAGGCCAACACTGTTCCATGAGCAGCTGCATGGGGAGTAGTGCATTTTCAAAGGGAGAAGCAAAGATATAGAGCTTTCAGAAAACTTCTGGAGCATGAGCAAGGAACATTCCTGCATTGTCATCTATAAGGAAACTTCCTTCTTCAACCAAACACTAGAATTCAGGACTTTGTAAAGACGTTCCTACAAAAAAGAATCTTTTTTCCAGTATCATCTCTGCTTTTTAAGCAAATAAATAAAGGCTGACTCTTACTATGTGTCACTCTGAAAGTTCAAAAGTACAATTCTCCGCATGTCCTGAGATATGTTTATTTGTGTGATAGAGACTTCAGTAACACCTTATGAAGCATCCTTACACAAGCTGAGTTGATTTCTACACCAAACATCTTACAAACAAATTTTAAGTCAGTGGACAACAAAAGGCGCTGAGTCTGCGCTGTTCTTGATATTCAACAAGGATAAAGTATGGGTCTGGCTGAAGAAACGGAAACCACAGGTACAGTTCAGTGGACTAGTGACTTCATGTTGTCAGTGGGAGACTCTACAGAAAAAAAGATTATTATCTCCAGATGATTACCTGGCACAGGCAGGAATGAAATGAAAGAGTGACAAGAGAGCTACTCTTCAGGAGGTAAAATGGTGCTGCAGGGACCAACCGTGAAATTTGGACTGTACTGTGATGACAATAAAAAATCATAATTACAATGTCATGAAAAAAACTGGTGTTAGAAAAATACAGCTGACAATCAAGTATCCCAACAGCAGAGCACCAAGGCTGATTCCAATTGTATTGATATAATTTGAAGGAACCCTACTATAGGCAACAAAGTTACTGCACACTCCCGGCCCCCCCCCCGATAACTGGAAGCATGGTCCTCTTGTAACCTTATTCTACTGCTATCCTTTGTTTGCATCCGATTTATTATTTGACATATGGGAATTATTTTAAAATTTGCATATAATAAACTACAGGACATGGCATCTTCAAGCTTGCCTTGCATTCCAAGTTTTACATTAAAAAAAAAAAAGACCCATATTCTGTAATATTATTTCTACACACTTCTGGATCTATCCTTCCACCAGAAATGTGCAGAGAAGATAGAGAGGACAACAAACATATTGACTATAACTTATCATTTAATGCTATTACAACAGTTTCCCCCTCTTGGAGTGTGTTACTTCAAATCACTTCAGATTCTTGAAATGAAAAATCAAGACTTGTGGAGCAGAGAGGAGATAAATGGCAGAAGCAGGAGCTTGCTATCTATAGACCCTCAGCTGCAAGATCTTCATTTCAGGTTATAATAATTAGGATAAGGACTTCAATGTATGTAAAAACTCCTGGCGCAAATTCATCCCTGACAGCCTCAAGAGTGGGAATGGATGAATATGAATTGTGTACCTCTATTTCTCTTTTCTGCCAAAACTCTCTTAATCAGTATAAATGCAGGCAATGGTGACAGCAGTGAGTTTCAACTCAGTTTCTCTCTCCCGAGGTGAGGGCTAACCCTGACAGCAGGCACCCCACCAGGACGCTTCTCCTCACGCTAGGGAAGAAAATGAAGGGAGTAGGTAGAGGGTCTTGAAACAGAGCAAGAAAGGGGCAAGAGAAGCTGAAAAGTCACTAGATATGAGAAGACTGAGGGAAAAGGAAAAACAAGAAAACACAACAATGGAAGGCAGGGGAAAAAAAAAGAGGAAAGTATACAAAAGAAGGAAATGTTAAAAGAGAAGCCTTAGCTGACTTAGATTAGGTCAACTTCTCAGACTACAGAAGCCAAAGATAAACTGACCAAAAAATAGTCAACAAAGTTAATACAAAGAGAGGAAGAAAAGCATATCCTTTGGAAGTAATAAAAGCAGTAACTATTAAGATCATATTTCACATGCCTCTCAAGCACTGGTTCCTTCTGATTCCCTTTCCTTACTTGAACTGACATGATATAATTACTGACCAAAAAAAAATCAGAAAGTAAGAAAAGGCAATAAATATACCAAATTGCAGAAGATTTATACATCCTTATCTATCCTTAGCTGGAAGGTTTACTGGGTACGTTAATTACATTTAGGATTTTAAAAACATTAATTATAATAACTCCTCTCTGAAGATAATAATTTTATTATCTTTAATTTTCCATACTTGGAAAGCTGAGGCAGAAGGATTAAATTAAGTGTAAGTAATGTGAAGTACAGGTATTTACCAAATCTAGCTACAGCTGTCCAACACTGAGTATCCACACTGGAAAATGTCAACATCATTTACTTGTCAAAAATTAGAAGAGTGGTTCAGAGCTCAGCTAGAGTTGATATCAGTGCCACTGTCTATTCCTTTATGTCAGCTCTCCTGCTGTTGGGATACCCTTTATGATGGTCTGAAGTCCTGTTGACTTGTTCCTCGGTAGAAGAGCTGGCTCAGCTGAAGTAGGCCGTTTGGCAGAGAATTTGCAGTGGCTGAAGTCTAGATCAACACAGGTTGAGTAATGGAGATGATCAGAAAAGTCAGATGAAAAGGTCCCTCACCAGCATGTACCAGTATGCCAAAACTGGAAAATTCCACAGCATTACAATTTTGAATAAGTTCCTTTGGCCTGCTGCCTGTCAGGCAGTTTTCAAAACTTATCCACTTTCATTCAAATGTCCCCTCTCAGCTGCCTGAATCTCTGACATAGTGCAGAGAGATCCAGTATCTGTTATGTGAGAGAGCTAGACATGCAGGATTGGGCATACCTGAGAGCTCTCCCTTTTCTGGAGAACTCTGAGGCAGGATCATTTTAATTTTCTGACTATTTTTCATATTTGGGAATGATCTGTGTATTGCTCATTCCTCCTCTCACCAAAATAATCTACAGTCCTTTCTTCACAGAGAGTAGGGATAAAACAGGCTCATTCTATTTATGTTTAAAAGAAGAGAAGAAAGGAGTGTGATCATAGCAAAGTCTTCAGAATGAACCATCAGCAAGGTTCCAGATGTTTGTTTGTGTGAAGCTGGCTATGTTATTGATTAATGTGTTAAGGCTGTTTTCACAAGAAAACAGGCTAGTAGATTGGGTTGGATTTTTTTTTTCTAATTTGAGTTTTCAGTCAATAAAACTGTAAATACATTATTTGGGCAGCTAAAAAAGAAGGCAATCTTTTTGATGTAATCTAAAGCCATCAAAAGTATTCTTGGTGGGACAGAGCTTTTAAAACATACATATGCAGTTCCAATACATAGTACGGAAAAATTTCTGACAAACACTATTTTAGATGTAGAATTAATAGGACTCATGAGAACACTGTAAGGCTGTAAATAAAGGGCTGCTACAGCATGTAAAAAAAAAAAGAAAAAGAGAAGTGAAAATAAAATACTGTTCTTTAATTACATAAAAAAAAAAGAGGTCAAGTTGCAGTGCTATGGGAGCCTTATCTGAGGATTTCTGAGTTTTTGTGGAAATGCTGTCAAAAGCTTGATGTTACTTTAATTATTTTTCTATAAAAATTATTTAACTAGAATTGACATTATTCTGACATTGTAATATGGTCTCCAGGGGCACGCTTGGCAATGTTGCCCAAAGGCTTTGAAAATGTCATTCGTAATACAAGTCAGAAATTGCACAGGTGAAACAGCCAGGGTCTTAATCCATCAAACACTGTTCCAATTCAACATGCTGCACTTATCTGACAAGCTCCTTAGTGTGTCTGTTGAGAGCTGAAGATGCTGGCTGGCTGGCTGGCAGGGAATGGGAGTCAGAGGAGGTCATGCAACCTGAAGCCGTAAGAGAAGCAAAATCCACAGGAACATAGATATTTCAAAATAGTGTTCTGCCATTTCTATACACTTGGTTTTGGTGGTTTATGTGACAGTTTTATTTATCCAA